ATGATGAATTATCCTCAGTCTATGTGCATGGCAGTATTGGAGGCAGCAGGAATAAAGGTACTTAAATCATTGCCTGGGGATGTCACAAGATTGTGGTATGAAGCAAGGAGATAAAATTGGATGATGGCCAAATTGTTCTGTGAGGTTAGAAGTAACTAAGAAATAAATGTTCTGTTTTGTTCATTTCTGGGATAAACCACAATACAAAACCACATAATGAACAATTGACAGAACCAGATATGTCTAGTCCAGGGGTAGGCAACCTTGGCTCTTTTATGACTCGTGGACTTCAACTCCCAGAATTCCTGAGCCAGCATGGCTCAGCTTGGAAACTCTCCCTTTCCCCTCAGCATGGCTGGCTCAGGAATTCTGGGAGTTGAAGTCCACGAGTCATAAAAGAGCCAAGGTTGCCTACCCCTGGTCTAGTCCAAGGAAAAGAAAGAGTAGGGATGATATGATAGCAGTCTTCTAGTACTTCAGGGGATATTACAAAGGGGGGGGGGGTCAACCTGAGTGCAAGTTCATTAAAGTTCATTAAAGAGAAACCCAACCTCAAACTGAGGAGAAATTTCCTGACAATATCAGTGGAACGCCTTACCTTTGGAAGTCAATGGAGATCTCAATCATCCAGGTCATGGCTGTCCCAAACGTGTTTTTTCCAAAAGGCAACTGGACTTTCTTGGAACTGAAGAAATGTCTTGCATGAGAAATGATATGTTTTCAAAGAAAAAAAAACAATCCAGTTACCTTTGGGGAAAAAAGCACCTTTGGGACTTACCACTGGACATGTTAAGTGCTTCAACTCCGGAGTTTTCCAAGAAGAGACTGGACAGCCGTTTGTCCGGAATGATATAGCGTCTCCTGTTTGGGCTGGGGATTAGACAAGAATACTTCAAGGTTCCTTCCAATCCTATTATTCTATGTTCTATGTTCTAAAACCCTGTTATTTTGATATCCAGATGTCAGAATGCTTCATAGGAGCTTGATTAATAGGAGCTTGCCGGGAAGATGGATGAAAAATTATCTTTCATTAACAAAATAAACACAATCTCAGAAGATGTTTACTGTCTCTCAAGTACCATTGAGGATTTTAGAGGGAGAAATTGGCTTCAGGCTATTGCGATGGCAATACGCAGTCTTTGGTATAACTAATGGGTACCAGTTGGCATCTTGAGACTTCCTTTACATCAAAGTAAGACTTCTGTAGCCTGGCAAATGTTGCTGATGCCAATTTCCATTAGGCCAAGCCAGTATGACAAATGGTCATTTGGGAAAACCATCCCTGTTTGAGAGAATCTAAATAAAAATGAATTACATTGGATGGAAATACCGTTACATGTCCTGTGGCCATGTGATCATGATTTCTGACATTTGTGTCAGAAACTAATGTTTGATTTCCAGTTTCCACAAAAAAACCCACCCATTACAGACAACGGATTTGCTTAACGGCCACTTAAAAAAAAGGTTGCAAAATCAGTCACGGTCACATGATGACCGGCACAATTGACAACCATAATTCTGGGCTCAATTATGGCCGTAGGTCAAAGACTACTTACAGTATATTCGATTTTTCATCTTTTAGCATGAACATGCATGGGAAACTTGACTGAATCCCTGTCATTTGGTCACCACGATGTAAAAAAGATGTTGAGACTCTAGAAAGAGTGCAGAGAAGAGCAACAAAGATGATCAGGGGGCTGGAGGTTAAAACATATGAAGAAAGACTGCAGGAATTGGGTATATCTGGTTTAATAAAGAGAAGGACAAAAAGTGACATGATAGCAGTGTTCCAATATCTCAGGGGCTGCCACAAAGAAGAGGGAGTCAAGCTATTCTCCAAAGCGCCTGAAGGCGGGACAAGAAGCAACGGATGGAAACTAATCAAGGACAGAAGCAACCTAGAACTAAGGAGAAATTTTCTGACAGTTAGAACAATTAACCAGTGGAACAACCTGCCTCCAGAAGCTGTGAATGCTCCAACACTGGAAGTCTTTAAGAAGAGACTGGACAGCTATTTATCTGATATGGTAGGGTTTCCTGCCTGAGCAGGGGGTTGGACTAGATGACCTCCAAGGTCCCTTCCAACATCATCATCATCATTATTATTTTTATGGATCATCGCACAGTCAGCCAGATGTTGTTATTGTTGTTGTTGTTGTTGTTGTTATTATTATTATTATTATTATTATTATTATTATTATTATTATTATTATTATTATTATTATGTGAAAGGCTGTTTACCCATTTTTGGCCCTAGCTTTCACAACCCATCATTTGCATTAACTTGCAGAAAAGTCCCTTTTGAACTCCCATTACTGGAGGAGGCAGCAGTGTGCCAGAAGCCAGAGTTGCCTTACCCTTTATGACAACATGGAAAAATACAACCCAATGAAATGTTGTAGAACAGATTTATTTATGCACACAAAGAAATCAATGCATTTGACAAATATTAAAAAGGACAAGGGCTGTCTCTTGCTCTCTACACTGTGCAATAAAATGTGCCTTCCTGCGTTCGTTAAAAAGATTCTCAAACGTATAGGAATGAATATTGCATTTATATACAAATAAATAGAGGGAAAGCACTTTGTTGTTTTTTAAAAAATATTTTACAGCCTTTACATTTCGAAAAGTTCCAAAACAGGGCAAAAATTAGAGATGTCTTGGTGACAATGCGCAGTCTTTGGTATAACTAATGGGTACCAGTTGGCATCTACAGAGTTCCTTTACGTCAAAGTAAGACTTCTGTAGCCTGGCAAACGTTGCTGATGCCAATTTCCATTAGGCCAAGCCAGTATGACAAATGGTCATTTGGGAAAACCATCCCTGTTTGAGAGAATCTAAATAAAAATGAATTACATTGGATGGAAGTACCGTTACATTCAACTAGCAGAGATGCTTCGCAGCCCAAACACCTGAGATCATTTACCTGGAGATACCGTTTCTGTAAAAGTGCAGAATTCCCACCCACCCCTTATTTTGCAGAACCACTATTAGAATGGATCAAGAAGGATCCATTTGAGCACTCATAGAGCGTTCACTAGGCCAGGGGTCGGCAACCTTGGCTCTTTTATGACTCGTGGACTTCAACTCCCAGAATTCCTGAGCCAGCATAGCTCAGCTTGGAAACCCTTCCTTTCTCCTCAGCATGGCTGGCTCAGGAACTCTGGGAGTTGAAGTCCACGAGTCATAAAAGAGCCAAGGTTGCCTATCTCTGCACTAGGCATACAAAAGATCCAAGCTTCATTTCCTTAGCATATTCCACAAAAGTTCGGTCTAGATCCCGATGGATCCCTTGTCAACTATATTATGCTAATGGCTAGGATGCAGACTCAGGATCTGTCCAGTGATCCTATACCCCTACATTCAAGCCACTGCTCTACCACAAAATAAAATCTTTGATTACTAATTTTGATCGGTTTATTTTAAAACTGGAAGACTTGAACTTTTTTTAAAAAAAACAAAACAAAACAGACAGGATCTCTGTCTTTATAAATAGCCTCTCATGTGGCTAGTGTGCTTGAATTCCAAATAATCCATTGTGTGAGTGAGTTACCTACTATACATGATCCCCACAAAGAATACTTAAAGCTCTGAAAAGAGATCACAGCGGGCCATTAAGATAATGCTTATCATTATCAAGGAAAGCTGCCTCAGCTTCAGAGGTGTCTGCGGGGCATGGTCCAAATTGTCAAAATGCTGGACATAATGGTGTAATTAATGCTCTGCCTGTTTGCAGTGTGTGTTGCTTTTGTGATTCACCGGAAAAAAAGCAGGTGGAGCTTGGATTGCACTGTCATATCCAGTCCATCTTGATTTTTTTGACCATAGCCCTGTTTAGGTATATGCAATTGGTAGATCAGACATGGGCAAATCTAGAAAAAAGGGAGCAAGCATTAAGAAAAGATTTAAAAAATATTATGGAGTTCAGAAAAGATTCCCCACACAAGGGGACTCGGCAAAGTCTAACTTTTTAAAACATATTTCTATTACAGTGCCTACCTACGGCGCTCCATTTTTTTTAACATTATGTCCAAAAACTACCTATAAACATAAACCTCTGTTTGTATCTTTACAGAATTAAGTGAAACATATACAAATGACTACTTATGGAAATAATTTTTCAGTTAACGATTGAATTTCTTCTCGAAAGTCTAATTGGTCATCAAATGCTTTGTACAACTGCATTGATTCATTCCTCCCTGAAAGAATAGAAACTAGAATAGAAATAACAGAAATAGAAATTTTCTGTGAAAATGTGAATGTGTTTGTGTGCGTCTATAGGAGATATACACACACTTCATCTATGGAAAATAAATCAAATACACGTGTACTGTATGTCTATGCATGTACTGTACATCTAGTTTTTACTACTTTTTTCCCCCTTTTTTGGCATTGGTTTATTTTTCTTTTCTGCATTTTTACATCTGCGTGTTTTTGCTTTTGTAAGAATAATACACCTTAATTTTAAGATATATTTTTTTTTAAGGGAAAAGATTTCAGAGGCACATTTTAGTTTTCAGGAGTCATCCACTGTTAAGAATGGGTTTCATTTATCCCGGAAGGTCTGGCGCTGAGACCTTCACAACGCTATTTAAATGCTACTCTCTTTCCAGCATTCGCCTCACGCTCTTTTGTTCCTCATCTGATCCAAGATTGCTCACCGAGGCATTTTATGCCAAGCGCATTACAGCATAGATGCTGATGTTAATAAATGGGCCACACACACTTCCGAAGGAGATGATTGTGGAATTTAAATTGTAATTTGGCAGGGCGCTAAACTGCTGGTCGCTGCTCCCCTTCGTTCTGCTGCTCGGAAGGCATAGCTTCCCAACGCAATATTGTTTTGTGTTGGGAATTTACAGAGAAAATTAGAGAGCGATCCGTGGTCCTTTGAATTTTAAATGCAATTTCAGTGCATCTCGGCTGTGCCCTGAACAAGTACGTGTACAATCACTGCAGACAACCAGTGGATGAGGACAATTACATCGCTAGCCTTCTTCTTAGAAATCTTTATCCCAGCCTGAAAGTTCATCGGGCGGAACTCCCTGTTCAGGTGGATATCTGTCAAAGTGGCTGTAGTCCATAGGACCTGAAAGCTATAAAAGAGTTATGGTATAAGCATACTTGAAGCAAAAGGTTGAAGGTTTCCCTGCCCAGTTGTGTCCAACTCTAAGGTATTCATCTCCGTTTCATTGTTACCTTTCCACCGAAGTGGTACCTATTTATCTACTCGCATTTGCATACTTTTGAACTGCTAGGTGGGCTGAGGCAAAGAATGGGAGCTCACCCCATTGCATTGTGCTGGGGTCTCAAACCCAAGCTGCCAGCTTTCCAGCTGACAATTTTAGTGTCTTTAACCGCTGAGCCATCACCCCCCTTTTAAGCATACCTGAACAAAACCTTACAAGAGATATTTTGCTACCAGATCCCATCAGATCTAATCTATAACACAAACTGTATTGTGCCCTATGTTGGGCTTAACACGCGACAATCACAATAAAGCCCATGCCCGGCTACCCCTTTGGGTCCAATTTCTGCCATTTTGGCCTGATACCCCATCAGGCCTTGCCTGGGAAGGTCTTGGCAAGACTTCATTTCATTACAAGCCTCTTTCCGATTGGCTGACTAGGCAACCATGGGTATGGACTGGGGATTACAGCCAATCAATGTTCGGAGATGTGTTGTACAATGCCAGGCTTTGCCAATGAGGTCTGTAACAGAGAGGCTTCCTGTTCTGGAAGATTCCTCCTCTCCAGATTTTTCTTGGAGGATTAGATCAGTGGTTCTCAACCTTTTTAATGCCGTGACCCCCAACCGGTCGTAAGTCGAGGACTAAACTGGTCGTAAGTTGAGGACTAAACCGGTCGTAAGTCGAGGACTAAACCGGTCGTAAGTCGAGGACTACCCAACCGGTCGTAAGTCGAGGACTTTCCCTGCACGGGAGCGCCGCGCATGCGTGGTTCCGCCCCCTGCGCCGGCCGAGGCGTAGCTGGCAAGCGGCAGAGACGGAGCAGGTCGACCACCAGCTGGCCCAGCTCAAGGGAGGTAAGGCACCCGCCGGAAAAGGGGAAAAAATGGCGGACAGCCTTGCTTGGTGACCCCCGTGAAATGGTCGATCGACCCCAAATGGGGTCACGACCCATAGGTTGAGAACCGCTGGATTAGATGGTCAAAACAAATTAATTTGTATAGGTGCCCCTACAACATAACTGACTAGGTTGTGTTATTTTAACTTTGTCATAATTAGGTATATTTGGAGTTATAAGGGATGAAATGAGCCAACCAACTCATTGTTGATATGTCCACAACACAATAACTCTGTCCCCACTGACCCAAATTAGTGTGGAGGGAACAGTACCTCTGTGGCATCTTCATAACACATATCTTAAAGGGGAACTCCAGTAATACTGTTCCTGATAAAAAATGAGACACTGGCTTGTGCATGTAGCTGATCATTAATTTAAAAGGGACTGGTTGAGTACCTCTCTTTTTAGGGGTGATGACAACTTCATTGCTTTGAGTCCTTCCCAGTTAAAACCATTCAGCCACCTAGAATGGAAAGTTAAACAGCAAGACAGTTATTTAACTGGTGTCACACTTATAGTCCCAAACAAACCTGCCACTGCATCTTACTGTTAAAGTAGGGATGGATATTGGAGAATATTTTTTTCTGTTCAAGGGCTGCAGTGTCCTGTCATCTGTCAAGGGTCCATAATAAATAAGTCCATAATAAATCCTCCCTGTTGCACCCCCAAATCTGTCTGCCCTACGTTTTCTACCAGTGGACTGCTATAATGGTACGTGGGGATGATTGTGAGAAACAGGAGAAGAGATCCTATCTAGGAATTGATTAGATAAGAGACAGTGGAGCCTGCAGCTGCATACTGGGTGGAGAAAGAAACTCTTATCAGGGCTAAAAGCAATGGTGGGAGATTTGTATCTTTAGTCTTACAAGGTTGATACCAGCTTTTCTAGTTAGTCCTGAGGGAAAACGTGACTTGATGAGCTAATTCTACTTTGTTCTAAGGCAGGGGTAGGCAACCTTGGACTTCAACTCCCAGAATTCCTGAGCCAGCCATGCTGAGGGGAAAGGGAGAGTTTCCAAGTTGAGCCATGCTGGCTCAGGAATTCTGGGAGTTGAAGTCCACGAGTCATAAAAGAGCCAAGGTTGCCTATCCCTATTCTAAGGCTACATTAACAGAATCTTGCAAAACCCAAAGTATAGGTAGTCCTTGACTCACGACCACAACTGAGCCCAAAATTTCTGTTGCTAAGACGGTTGATAAAGTGAATTTCGCACCATGTTATGATCTTTCTTGCCACAGTTGTTAAGTGAATCACAACACTTAACTGTCACGTTAGTAACACGGTTGTTAAGTGAATCTGGCTCCCACATTGACTTTGCTTCTCAGGTCACAAAAAGTGATCACATGACCCCGGGACACTGCAACTGTCATAAATACGAGCCAGTTGACAAGTGTCTGAATTTTGATACGTGACCATGGGGATGCTACAAAGTCATAAATCACTTTTTCCAGTGTCCTTGTAACTTCGAATGGTGACTAAACTAATGGTTGAGGACTAGCTGTGTTTCTCCCTTCCTCCCCTTTTATTCTCTGAAAAATAGGGGGGGGGGATTTCCTTATGAAATGTTTTCTACGCCCTTCCTCCTTCTGCGGGCCAAGAAATCTTTTGCATGCCAGTTGCCTTGTTTGTATCTCTTCGTCATATCTTCCAAGGTCATTCCCACATGCCACTATAATACCAGAGTTTTGGGTTACCTTCCTTTCTGTTAATGCCAGGATATGTTTAACCTTTTTGCAGTTATTGAGCACATCATTCCTACAGCTTACCTGTTGGGGACTATCTGCCATACCCAGGTCAAACAAGCAATTGGAGTTTACAGCCAAAACATGGGGGCAGGTTTCCATACTGTTATCTCTTCTTCCTGCTCCTGACAGTTTCTTCTCTTTGTTGAAAGCATCAGACACTTCAAGGAAGGGAGTGTTGGCCCTAACTAGTGATCTTCACTGGTCTCCTGCATTTGGGATCTGAATTGAGGCCAAGATATACTGTACAATTGTACATGAAACCAGCCTGACTGTTAATTTGGCCTGAGGGCCGCAGTTACAAACTCTTCTCTTAAGCATTAAAAACAATGACAGCAGTAAAATGAGAGAACTTATGTACAGTCAAACTCTTCATTGATTACTACCCAAATCTTTAAACCTTTACCCTGTGATAGGATGGGCAGCCAATACATTTAATAAACAAAAAAATTAAACATATAAATAAACATATACACTAACAAACAAACAAATAAAATTTACCTGTGCCTCTTAATGTCATGGATTCCATTCTTCAGATTTCCTAATCTCTCTGTAGGACTTTGTCTAGTACACATTTGTGAGTAAGAGACAGAGAGAGAGGAAGAAGATGAGTACACTCTTTATAATTTAGAAAATATCTACACAACTCCATCATTAATTTTCTGGTGCACCTCAGAGACTTGAGTATCTCCGGCTTGATTTGCAGGAGAAAGGTGGTTGGGAGGGAATCAGTTTATTATTACCATGGTTATTATTATTTATATTCATTCTTTGGGAGCTGAAGGGGGGTGTACAGGGATGTCTTCTTATTTTTTCTTATCCAGTAACTGAGGTGAGTTCAGCTCAAAACAAGAGACTGGCACAAAGGCACCTGGTGACAGGGCTGACTTGGTGACACACCAAATTGTGTATCTTCCCAGGTTTAACACTTTACTATACATTATATTATCCATGGATAATCTGTGAGGCAGCTGAAGGATCTCCAATCCTTCTGGCTGGTGTGCATATATGATCGTTTGAGCAGATATTTTAGATGCCATGTCTGCTATGGGAAAGAAGCATGGAACTTGAAGACAAAGAAATCTACAAGTTCACTGATGTTTTGGGTGTATATGGGTGACCAGAAAAGTGGCATAGAGCTTTGCCCATTAATAGCCTTATTCCCAGGAATCTATCCCAAAGATGTTGAAGAAGCTTCCTAGATGAAAAGCGAAACATCTTCAAAGAAAAACAAGAAAGTCCAGTTGCCTTGTGAAAAAGCATCTTTGGGATAACTGTGACCTGGATGAACGAGTCTAGTTGCAGGTTCTTTACTTCATGAAATGTTTGAGGAGTCTCAAAATCCAAGCTTGGTGTCATTTGAAAAAAAAAAATGCAAACCTCTCCTAGTCAGAGAGGATTAAAACGAATGACTTATTCAGTATCTGTTAGGGCAATTACAGTATATATCAATGGGTCTGAAGCAGTTCCCATAATAATCAGATATTAATTTGTAACAGCCAAAAGTGATCCACAAGATTGATTTACAGCTTCCTTGCACATTAGTGGTTTGATAGCCCAAGGCTTCCCATCATCCATATATATAATTAAAATGGCTGTAGGTTAATTAAAAGCAAGAGACTAAGAGTATGATTATGTGAAACATCATTCAAGGCACAGAAATGAAGATTTATGGTGTCCAATCTGTTTGAAAAATGGGAACAGAACATCAAGAAATTCTGCTGAAGGTATTATACAGGTAGTCCTTGAGTAATGACCGGTCACTTAATGAGTGTTTACATTTATTATGGCCACCAAAGAGGTCCTTTGTGGCCTGTAAGGCACCTCAGAGTGATTGTAAATAGTTGTACCACACATCCACCTCTGTGGTCACGTGACCACGATCTGCAACATTTTTTCCTAGTTGTTGGCAAAAAAATGGCATTCGACTGAGTGGATTCACTTAATGACTGCTACATTTACTTATTGACTGCTGCATTAGCTTAACGCCATGATGAAAAATGTCAGAGAAACACTTCAGGTCATGTGGGAATTCTGGGAGTTGAAGTCCACCCGTCTTCAAGCTGCCACGGTTGAGAAACGCTGGTCTAAATAGATCTGTATGGAATTACACTGCTGAATAACACCAACGAACATAAGATTTTAGATTAAAATCTGGCTGGATATTGGGTGTTAAAGGAAATACAACCTCGCTCAATTATTCTCCTCACACCTCTGCAACACAATTGCTCTTCCCTCACCTGCAAAGCCGTCGAATCAAATCCTCAGGGCGCTTGGTTACTATTCTGGGGAAATCCAGTCGCTCAACGCCTTTTAAAATCGAATTATAGGTCATCATTTGATCGATTCCAGTAAAGGGAGGACTTCAGTAGGTGCCATTTCAAAATTGAGGGAAGAGGAGGAAGAGAAGATGCATGGTTATAAAAAAAGAAATCGTGTGTTGGACCCAGGCATCTTTTCCTCACATGCTAAGCTGTTCCTCTAAACCAGGGGTAGGCAACCTTGGCTCTTTTATGACTCGTGGACTTCAACTCCCAGAATTCCTGAGCCAGCATGGCTCAGCTTGGAAACTCTCCCTTTCCCCTCAGCATGGCCGGCTTAGGAATTCTGGGAGTTGAAGTCCACGAGTCATAAAAGAGCCAAGCTTGCCTACCCCTGCTCTAAACAAAGACAGGATTCAGATGAATCACAAACTGGTTTTCTCATAAGCTATGTTTTGTGTTTCAGAGGATTTTTAGGGGGGATTCATAGGTAGTCCTCAACTTACAGCCAAAATTGAGCCCAAAATTTATGCTACTGAGCAAGACAGTTGTGAAGTGAGTTTTGCACCGTTTTGCAACCATTTTTGCCACGGTTGTTAATGAATCACTGCGGATGTTAAATTAGTAACATGACTGTACAGTGAATCTGACTTCCCCATTGACTTTGCTGGTCAGAAGGTTGTAAAAGAGGATCACATGATCCCGAGACATCATAAATATGAGTCAGTTGCCAGGCGTCTCAGTTTTGATCACCTGACAATGGGGAATGCTGCCATGGTCATTAAGTGCGAAAAACGGTCATAAATCTCTTTTTTCCGTGCTGTTGTAACTTCAAACAGTAACTAAATGAACGGTTGTAAGTAAAGGACTACCTGTAGTTAGTTTGAACCAAAATTTGAGGATTGATGTTTATATCCACGAAGTGTCAAAGCTGAGTACAGCCTAATACCAGGGTCTCCGAATCAAGACTGTTAGTCGTCCCAAAGGTGCTTTTTCAAGAGGCAACTGGACTTTCTTGTTTTTCTTTGAAAATGTTTTGCTTCTCATCCAAGAAGCTTCTTCAGAGCTGAAGAAGCTTCTTGGATAAGAAGCAAAACATCTTCAAAAAAAAAAAAAAAACCAAAACGAAATCCAGTTGCCTCTTGAAAAATTACTTCTGGACAACCAAGATCTGGATGACTGAGAATCTCCATAGACATAAGACTATTAGTTCTTTCTGGCCCAGGAGTATCTGCCTACAATGGCCTGTAACTCGGGAAGACACCTACCCAGCTATACATTTTTAGTCTTGCCATTATAAGGACAATCTAATTGCAGATACTACCATAGCATTTATTCCCCCTCCTTGTGAAACAGAGAAATGTCACTTCCATTAGCTAAAGGAAGTACAAAATAAATCCTGTGTCAGAATTTATGAGCATATCAGGAGCACACGTCAAAGCTGAGTGGAGACAAGCTATATTGTAGGACAAGGGTTCCCAACCAGGGGTGCGAGACGATATTCCAGGGGGTGCGAAAACTTGGGTTTTCAAAATTATAGCGTATATGCATAATTTGTTGCTGTTATTTCAAACTTTTGTAAGGGGTGCCAGAATACATCAGAAGCGTTCTAGGGGCGCGGGGTATAGAAAAGGTTGGGAACCACTGTTGTAGGAGATGACCAGGCTGAGCCCAAGGAAAGGGGTCAAGCACGTCATCAGTCTCCAGTTCCTTCACACCACAGGAGATCTAAATCCAGCCCACCTTGAATTCTGTTGACTTACATCAGGGGTAGTCAACCTTGGCTCTTTTATGACTCGTGGACTTCAATTCCCAGATTTCCTGAGCCAGCTTAGCTGGCTCAGGAATTCTGGGAGTTGAAGTCCACGAGTCATAAAAGAGCCAAGGTTGACTACCCCTGACTTACATCTACCATCTATTTGCTTTTACCATTAGCAGTTCAGATTTTTGTAGAGAGCATTAGCATATAATAAAGCTATATTCTTTTTGAATTGCCTGGACTCTTCATTTCCTGCACTTGACATATATTTTGGGTTTAGAGATTTTAAAGACTCATGTTTTATTTATTTATCTGTATCCCGTCTTTATTATTTTTAAACTCAAGGCAGAGAACATAACCAATACACCTTGCTCCTTCTACTTTTTTCCCACAACAATCCTGTGAGGGGCTGAGAGAGAGATGACTCAAAGTCACCCAGCTGGTTTTCATGGCTAAGGTGGGACTAGAACTCACTGTCTCCTGCTTTTTAGCCTGGTGCCTTAGCCACTAGACTAGACCAAAGTGGCTTTCTATAGATTCTTTAAGTCTTCTGCAAGGCTTAAAGTATACACTTGCTCCTTCAAATGTCCCAGTGTAAAGAAAAAAAATCCAATTTTTTAGCACCTCACAACTTGAGAAAAACAATCAGTATTGCAACTGATGGTGAGGAGAGTGTGGTTCATTTACCACCCCTTTTTGCTTTCTGGGCTGTTCTACACCAATCCTTCTCTGTTTCTTGCATAGCCAAAGATGAAGTGGAAACAATTCTCAGGTGTAGGACAAGAGTTGTGTACAACCCTTGAGCTATGGGCCCCTCTCTCATTTTATAGGCATACACCTTATGAACCCAATATGGCCCTCAATCTAGGCCAAAAGAATCCAGTCTCCTGGGACATACTTTCCTGTAAGCAGTTCATACACAAGGATTCCGAGGGACCAAAAATCCACACTGAAATCATGGCCTTTATTCAAAATGACTTCAGGTGCGACATATTCAGGAGTCCCACAGAAGGTCCAGGTCTTCTGCCCTGCTCTGATCTTCTTAGCAAACCCAAAGTCAACCTTGTGGGTAAAAGAAGAGGAGAAGAGGCTGTCACTGGATAGTTTTACCTCAGGTTATTTTTCTTGTTTCTATCTGTTGTAAGAACTTCTATTGAGATGCATTCAATATTCTTCCTCATACAGTGGCTACTAGATGCATCTTGGAAAGAGTATAACCAAAAGAGTAGCAAGCTATCTTTTGCTATTAGTCCTTAGTAACTGGAATTTGACTGCAAGACTTAGTAATTGGAAGTTGACTGCAAGCACTGTCTTATGCCTAAAGACATTTACCCATGTAGTAGTAGGGCTGTATTGCTATTATCCTTCTCATCTTTCTCATTTTCTCATCTTTCCTACTACCTTCTCCTATTGGGGTCTTATGATTTGTCGTTTATTTGCATCTTATGATTTATTATTGTATCTTATGATTCATGATCTGTGACCTACCACTTTGTTGTTTGTATGTATACTGAGAGCTTATGCACAGGAGACAAATTCCTTGTGTGTCCAATCACTTGGCCAATAAAGAATATTCCTATTCCACATCTGAAATCCCCATTATATACTCTTCTCACTGTATAGTTTTGATCAACTGTGAACACTGCAGAAACTTGTTAGTGCATGGAAAATTGACAGGAAAATATATTACCAGTTTAACAAAGAAAGAGTCAGGATTGTCTCTAATGAGAAATAATATATACTGTAAATGCATTTGTGTTAGCATGTAAGTATAAATCAATATATGATATTGATTTATAATGATATTTCTTCCTAACATTCAACATAAAATAATCTTATTTTCAGTAGCATAAATGTGTAAAGATATAAGCACTCTTAAACTTTCCTTTGAATGGCTGCATACCAAATGCAAAACAAACTTTTCTTAACAATGCCCCTATATTTCTTTTTAAAAAAACTTACCAACTTTATATAACCCTGGGCATCCAAAATTAAATTTTCTGGTTTCAAATCCCTGTAGATTATACTCATAGAATGCAAATATTCAATAGCTTCTGTCACACACCCAACACAGAACTTTGTAGTGGTTTCATCAAAACTACCCCTGAAAAAAGAAAGAAGAAAGAAAGAAAGAAAGAAAGAAAGAAAGAAAGAAAGAAAGAAAGAAAGGAAGGAAGGAAGGAAGGAAGGAAGGAAGGAAGGAAGGAAGGAAGGAAGGAAGGAAATGAATTAAGGGTAGAAGGAATGAAGAAAGGAGAGAGAGAGAGAAAGAAAGAGCGAGAGGGAAAGAAAGAAAGAAAGAAAGAAAGAAAGAAAGAAAGAAAGAAATGGAGGGAGGGAGGGAGGGAGGGAGGGAGGAGAAAAAGAAAAAGAGAAAGAAGGAAGAAAGGAGGGATGGAGGATAGAAGGAATGAAAGGAGAGAAAAAGAAAAAGAAAGAAAGATTGCTTTCATTGTCAAATTATTTTCAATCTTTCCTCTTCCAGTCTTAGTAGACTCTGAAGAGATGCAGTAAAAATCACAAACATAATAAAATAGAAGAAATCATCAATAAAGTAATTCAGTGTATACTCAAAATCATCAGTTCTGTTGAAGTAAAATTCTCCTCACAGCATACAGAAGTATGGGGGTCAACATCCAGGAGAAGGATGTTGAAAGAGGGAAAATATTGCTTGGAAAGTTACTTATTTCCATCATAGGCTGATGACACTAATCTAAAAAACATTTAACCTTTCCCGCTTTCCTGGGACTCCTCAGCAGATGATATTCAAAGGGCCACCGGGATTTTTGAGTTGCTATTAAGCATTCAAGTCTAGTAGACAGCGATAATCCATTTTCCCATTAATTTCTTCAGGCCCTGTTTAAATTAGTGGCTATCAGAACATCTGATGGAAGCAAATCCTGTCATTTAATTATGCCCTTCCTTTGATCACTCCCCTACATTTAGTTTTAATTTAGTTTTAATGAATGAAGACTGTGAGGGAGAAAAACCGATCTACATTTTTATATATCATGGCTAATTTTTAATACCTGTATCACAACTTCCTTAACTCCCTACCAGAATCCCAGACGCTCTTACTCTTTGTTAGTCCATAATAATTCTGGTTGCCCTTTTTTCAATTTTATATGATTGCTTTTCTGGTCTGCTAATCAATACCAATTGTGGTCTCACCATAGATTTATACAAGAATATTACTGCATTGGATTATTGTTGTTTTTTTTAAATTTCCTTCCTAATAATTTCAAGCATGGAATTGGCCTTTTTTACAGCAATCAGACTTGAATTATTATTTCAACAGAACAACAGAGCTGGAGGGGACCTTGGAGTCTGACCCCCTGCCCAGGCAGGAAGCCCTATACCAGGGGTCTTCAAACTTGGCCCTTTTATGACTTGTGGACTTCAACTCCCAGAATTCTTCAACCAGCGTGCCTGGCTGAGGAATTCTGGGAGTTGAAGTCCACAAGTCATAAAAGGGCCAAGTTTGAAGGCCCCTGCCCTATACCATTTCAGAGTAATGGTTGTCCAATCTCTTCTTAAAAACTTCCAGTGTTGGAGCGCTCACAACCTCTGGAGGCAAGTCGTTCCACTGATTAATTGTTCTAACTGTCAGGAAATTCCTTCTTAGTTCTAGGTTGCTTCTCTCCTTGATTAGTTTCCACCCATTGCTTCTTATTCTGCCTTCAGGTGCTTTGGAGAATAGCTTGGCTCCCTCTTCTTTGGGGCATCTTCTTAGATACTGGAACAATGCTATCATGTCACCTCTAGTCCGTCTCTTCATTAATCTAGACCAGGGATAGGCAACCTTGACTCTTTTATGACTCGTGGACTTCAACTGCTGGCTCAGGAATTCTGGGAGTTGAAGTCCACAAGTCATAAAAGAGCCAAGGTTGCCTACCCCTGATCTAGACATACCCAATTCCTGCAACTGTCCTTTAGCCCCCTAATAATCTTTATTGCTCTTTTCTGCCTATTTCTAATCTCAACATCTTTTTTTTAATATCATGGTGACCAAAACTGTATGCAATATTCCAAGTGCTGTTTTACCAAGGCGTTATACAGTAGTATTAACACTTCACGGTGTTATTTTCAGTCACCCCATAACTCTAAACTCCACTTCTTGATCAGTCTCTAACAATTCAGCTCCTAAGATACATTATATTAGGATCCAAGATTTGGAATTCCCCACGCTAGCTAAAGAAATTGATCACCAGCTTTTGCAAATGCATATTCACATTTTCTTTCGCATAAGTTGAGAAAAACAAAGTACTTTGTTATATTTTAAATATTAATCTGGCATTTCCTTTCGTGACTTTGAATGAAAAGCCCATTTTAAGTTGTATGAAATAAAATAAATCCAATACTCAATTTTTGGGAGTAAGCACCACTCAGGTCAATAGATTTACTACCAGGTAAATCTGCATAGGATCAAGTTGCAGGCTGAGATCAACCATCACTTCGTTTCATCAACAATCCAGATTCCCACTGCAGGTAGTCCTCGATTTACGAGCACAATTGAGCCCAAATATTGCTAAGCATGACAGTTACGTGAGTTTTGCCCCATTTTACAACCTTTCTTGTCACAGCTGTTAAGTGAATCGCTGAACTTATTATTAACACAGTTGTTTAGTGAATCTGACTTCCCCCATTGACGTTGCTTGTTAGGTCGAAAAAGGAGATGACATGAATCTGGGACACTGCAACTGTCATAAATACATGTCAGTTGCCAAGCCTCTGAATTTTGATCATGTGACCACGGGGATGCTGCAGTGGTCATAAGTGTGAAAAACGGTCATAAGACCTGTTCAATGTTGTTATAACTTAATAATAATAATAATAAAGTTGGAAGGGACCTTGGAGGTCATCTAGTCCAATCCCCTGCTCAGGCAGGAAACCCTATACCATTTCGGACAAATGGCTGTCCAGTTTCCTCTTAAAAACTTCCAGTGTTGGAGCATTCACCGCTTCTGGAGGCAGGTTGTTCCACTGGTTAATTGTTCTAACTGTCAGGAAATTCCTCCTTAGTTCTAGGTTGCTTCTCTCCTTGGTTAGTTTCCATCTGTTGCTTCTTGTCCTACCTTCCGGTGTTTTGGAGAATAGCCTGACTCCCTCTTCTTTGTGGCAGCCCTGAGATACTGGAACACGGCTATCCTGTCCCCCCTCGTCCTTCTCTTCATTAAACTAGACATACCCAATTCCAGCAACCGTTCCTTATATGCTTTAGCCTCCAGTCCCCTAATCATCTTTGTTGCTCTTCTCTGTACTCTTTCTAGAGTCTCAACATCTTTTTTACATCGCGGTGACCAAAACTGGATGCCGTATTCCAAGTGTGGCCTTACCAAGGCATTGTAAAGTGGTATTAACACTTCACGTGATCTTGATTCTATCCCTCTGTTAATGCAGCCCAGCACTGTGTTGGCCTTTTTGGCAGCTGCAGCACACGGCTGGCTCATATTTAAATGATTGTCCACTAGGACTCCGAGGTCCCTCTCAGATTCACTTAACAACTGTGTATTTAATTTAACAACTGCAGAGATTCATTTGAGAACTATGGCAAGAAAAGTCGTAAAAATGGGGCAAAACTCACTAAATAAATGTCTTGCTTAGCAACAGAAATTTTGGGCTCGGTTGTGGTCGTAAGTTGAGGACTACCTGTATAATGCCATTCTTTAAATAAAAATGTAAAAATGGGCAAATAATAATAATAATAATACCTGTCCCTGAGGATGCTCCATAGTTCACCACCAAGACAGGCTTCTAAGAGCATATAAACGTATTTGTTGTCTTTGAAGGTACGATACAACCTGAAGCACGTTAAAAAGAGAGAGAAAGAAACAATAGGCAAACAATTCTAGTTGAAGATAGAATGCATCTAATATAGCAATAATCACATTTCTATAGCACTGCGCGCATGTAGGAACACCTCCAAAATCTGGAGTCTCTGGGTAAAATGAGAACACAAAGAATATTGATCAACCCAACCAAGGGGGGACATTCATGAACAATCACCTAGAATTTAAAACTTGGTGGAAGAAGGTTGTTTATAGAGGAGAAAATGTGTCCTTTTCATAAAGTTTGTTATAAAAATCATTCAGATTCAAATCACCCATCGACAGTGGAGGATAATAGTGGGCAATTGAGTGAAATATTCTTCTACTTGTAAAGGTTCTCTGTATGTTTGAGAACCTAGAAAAATCAGAAATATAAAGCAGGGGTCCCCAACCTATGGTCCATGGCCCACTGCCAGTCTGTGGCCTACTGGCCACCGGGCTACAGGGCAGGCTGGCCAATGTGCGCATGTATGCATGCACTCACCCCCACTCACGCTAGTGCCCGCAGACCTGTTTGCGCATGCGCACGGGACTAGCCGCGGTGGGGCTAGAGCCTGCGCAAACAAGGCCACTAGTGCTGTGTGGGTTGCGTGGCCTGTTTGCACATGCGCACGGGGTTAGCAGCAGCGGGGCTAGCGCCTGTGTACATATGGGGGCGTTAGCCCCATACGGGTGCACGCGGCCCTCTTCACGTGTGACCCTGTTTGTGTGTGTGCAGTGTGTGCAGCTGCTTCCTTTCCCTCTGGGCCACCAGCTTGAAAAGGTCGGTGACCTCTGATCTAAAGTACAGGTAGTCCTCTACTTACGACCACAATTGAGCCCAAAATTTATCTTGCTAAGTGAAACATTTGTTAAGTGAATTTTGCCCCATTTTATGACTTTTCTATTGTTAAGTGAATTGCTGCAATTGTTAAGTTAGTAACACGATTGTTAAGTGAATCTGGCTTCCCCATTGACTTTGCTTGTCAGAAAGTCGCAAATAACCCCAGGACACAGCAACCGTCATAAATATGAACCGGTTGCCAAGCATATTGAATTCTGATCATGTGACCAGGGGGTTGCTGCAACGGTCGTATGAAAAATGGTCGTAAGTCACTTTTTTCAGTGCCGTTGTAACTTTGAATGCTCACTAAATGAAATGTAAGTCGAGGACTACCTGTATATAAGAGTTCCATGGAAAGTTCTCCACTAAACACAACTACTCACTATATACGACAAGTGATGCAAGGACAATGAATCCAGTACCCTCAACTTTTCTTGTTAAACAAAAACATATTATCACAAATTCCCAACTACTGAAAAACAGCCCAAAAAGGGAATTACAGGGGATAGCAATGTGTTGCGGAATGGAGAATGACAATGAGATTCATGGTTTCTGGAAGAGTGTGAATAAACAGTGATGCTCTATGATCCAGACAGTGTCATTTTTTGAAAGAGATCTTTTTTTTTTTAAGAAATAGGTTTATATAAATAATTTTAAAAAATTACTTCACAATGAATGGCGAACAGGCCTCTTCTAGAATTTTCTTTTCGGAATGAATATGTTCCTGTTGCTTGGTATCCACTATGTGCTTCTTCTTAATGCATTTCATGGCAAATGCTATGTTCTCATTCTTAACTTTCACCTGAAGTCACCGGAAAAGAAAATATAATGTCAGAATCATAAACATGAGTTCTCTCCCTTTTTCAAATTCTTCAGAATAACAGCAGAATAGAATTGTAAATTCAAGATGTAATGCACCCTCCCTCAATTGGCACCTTCTAGATCAGTGGTGTTAAACTCTCAACGTCACCTGATGTGTCGTGGCATTTTGCGACTTTTTCCCCATTGCCGGCAGTTTGACACCTCTGTTCTAGATCAAGGATCTCCAAACCTGGCAATTTTATGACTTGTGGACTTCAATTCCCAGAATTCTCCAGCAAGCATGAGGAATTCTGGGAGTTGAGGTCCACAAGTCATAAAGTTGTCAAGTTTGGAGACCCCTGTTCTAGATATTTGGACTTCAATTCTCAGAATTCTCAGCAGTGACCCTGCTTTTTGGAATATTAATTCTTGGAGATGAAGTCAATACATTTCAAGGATTCCCAGGTTTTAAACCCCAATAGCCAAGAATGTAAGCAGAGGATCACTTCCAATAAGACAATTTTGTCAAGCATATTGGATCTGCCATTCAGCAAAACACTAAACATGCCCAAACTATTGTTTTCACCAAAAACAGTGGACTTCAGCCTATGTATAGATTTTTTTAGAGCATAGATAGATGATCTTTTGGTAATCCTTTTCTGGGATGGGGCAGCAAAGACTGATCTGAAAATTGATTTA